AATTTAGTTTTGAGTCACGGAACGTTTTTCGCTCTTCACACCCAAATGAAAATTTTCTTATTGTAGCATTTTCAAATTGCACCCCCACGTTTAGAATTACTGTTTTAGACCATATAGAACTACAGGGGACCACCTCAAGACATTTCTCTTGGTTCATCATTAGAGTTGGGTAACTAACAGTATTTCCTACAAGCATCAGTTTACATTGATTAGTATCACATAAGAAAAATTAAAATATAATGAACTTAAATCTATTAAGTTAATTAAAATAATCAACTAATTGAAATTAGTGTTTCAAATTATTACTGTTTGATTATTCTTACTATGCAAGTTTCATGTGAAAATAATTAATTAGTTAAATGTAGTCAATTAATAGGCCTAATGATTCATTTTTATTAGTAAGTTCCACTAATCGTCCAACTCTATTCGCCATATAAGCATTTTCAAGCAAATTAACATCATTTCTATAATAAATGGAACCTAAATAGCCTGTAAAAATTCCAAATAAGGCATTAACAAAGTTTTGTACAATGTAATAACTTCATTTCTCCTCAACTCAGAATTACTGTAAGTAGATCACAAATCACTATTTGCTTTTTTTCACCACTTCCACACATTCAGCAAAATTCAAAGCTTTTATCGGTCATCACATACCAATCCTACTCCTCATTTCTTTCAACACTAATATTTCTCCCACTAAAAAAGAAAACAATTTACCAATAATGAAACTTTTTCCACAAATTAACTTATTCAACAGGGCTGTTAAAGTCTTTCTTGATTAAGGAATCAATTTTCAAACATTTATCCCTGCCCACCAGTTTAGTATCTTCAGTAAATTTAGACATCTTACTGCTTATACAGTGGTCCATATCATTGACTAGTGGTCTTTTCACCTCTGAAAGCTATCTGACCTGAACGAATAGTGAATCCATTATACAATGGTCCATATCATTGACTAGTGGTCTTTTCACCTCTGAGAGCTATCTGACCTGAACGAATAGTGAATCCAGTCAGAAAAGATTTCTTAATTTTCTAATGTGTTGCAATATGATGATATCAGCTGGAAGACAACCAGTCTAAGAATGGTGTGTTAACTTTTGTAGGCTTAAAGATAAACTTTGCTGGAGTGCAGGGATTACTTAACAGTCAGAAGGGTAGTTATTGATTTGAGACCAGTATTTTGGTACTAGTGGTAGTTCAGTTGGTAGAGCATGCTCTTAGAATACCATCTGTGAGCTGACAGTCCCAGGTTCAATTCCCGGAACAGGCATATTTCTTAACGTTTTGATTCAATATAAAGTGTCTACCCTATTACAATATTTATAAACTGTATGCATAAAATTAAAAATGGTAAATATTTTACATATTACATGATCAAAAAATTTTTATTTTAACATTCATAAAAATACTGAGATATTACATAAAATCATTCAATTTCTCTCACTTACCAATTCTCATATGATAATCATTTATACATTTCATGTGATAAATATTAAAATAATCTACATTAATACTGCATGATTTTGCACCACACTGAAGAAGTGGAAGGGCATAAGCTCTTGCACAGTTAACAAACATTTTCAACTCATACTAACAGTCAGTTCCTAATTACAAATTTTTTACTATTAAAACATGAAATATATGTAGATTCTGTCCAAATAAAAAATAAGATTAACTTTCATCTTTCTTAAACTAACCTGTACAACCAATAAACTGAGCCCTATGCTAGTGTAATATCTAAATGACACAACAAGGAGCTCTTGTTCTGATTGCAAATCTATATCAAGGTGAGTAACACTAATTAGTGTTTAAGAAAAAGCTTGATAAGTATATGAATGAAAAGGGCTGGGTTTGAAATTTTTTATTTTATTTTTTCTAATCATTTTAATTTAGTATTGAGGATGAAACAGCCGAGATGGACCAATACGGCAATAAATCCCATGTTGTCCCAAAATATTATGTTATGTTAATAATTTGCAACTTTAAAGTTGTAATACTTTCAGAAATTTGAAACAAATTTAACTTCAAGAGTTCAACTGGAATAGTTTAGCTACACTATTATTATTAAGATACTTTTAACTTTAAGTATATATTTTGAAAAGATTTCAGAAACAGACTAAATACAACAGAAAAGCCGATTAGAAGTTTAGGAAATCTTGGGTTTAAATACAAACCAGTCAGTTTTTGTTGTTGTTCTTTTTTGTTTTTAATTTAGATAAGTTAGGGTCAGCTGAAGTCTAGTAAATTAGCTACTCGTTAATTTAACTGTTTTAGTATAAAATAAATATTACTTTCAAAGTTTCATGAGTAGGCCTACGCTCAGTAGTCAAATCAATCTTTTAGGATAGTATGTATTAATTCCTAACTTATTTTAACAAACGTTTTCCTAGATTACTTTTTAATTATATTAGAAAATTTAAAAACCTGGGAAAACGTTTGTTCAAACTAAGCTAAAATGTTCAATTCAGAGTCATGACCTACGTCACTTCTCAATCGTCAATCTCTAATTCTTACAGTTTAGTCAGACTTTAGACTAGTTTTATTAACTCTTAATGACAGTACTTCTTTCACTAAGAGTAAGACTTTAGTCCAAGAAAAACGAAATTAAGTTACCCATATTTTTTGTAACAACCAATATTTAAGAAACTAAATTGCAGTTAAAATATAACCATAAATTACCAGTCTATAATTTGAGTATAAAATATAATACAAATTGCCCAGATCACACTTAAAAAACAAAAGGTGGTTACTACAAGGGGGAAGTCTTATCATTTTCACAAGAGCAAAAACAATATATTTCCAAATTACAAAATCCATGCATTCTTGTCCATAAATTAATAAATAGTCATATGGAACTTTTAAAAATGTAAGGTTTGATAAGAAATAGGAAACTTTTATTTGTGCTAAATTGAAAATATTAAAAGAACAAAACTAAAGATAGTGGAATAACCATGTACCCACAGTTGACAAAAAAATATATATAATTATGAAAAAGGTGGAACTTCCAAATATCCAAAAAATGTTATAACTATTTAATGCCGGTGATGCGAGGTTACTGATGCAATTGGACAATAGAATAACTCAACACTCCCTCACATTTCAGCACCTGACTGATGGAAGTATAAGGAAGCATTTAAAGTTATTTCTCATGTTTCATCACATGAATAATACTTTTCTCAGCCCTGTGCCAAACCCTTTAAAGTTAAGATCATAATTCTAAAATGTTCTATTAAATCATTAGCAAGAATGGCTAACATCAATATTATCTATTGAATGACAGAATAA